TACTACATGCAAGCCACTATAATTGGCAGGCCTGGCCAGTGGGGGAATGTTTATACATGTATTACCTTCCTGAAGGTTGCATTATTTCAGAAATGAATGTGCTGACGAATAAGCCTAAGTGATGTTATGTCGATGTCGTAGCTACATGTATTTTCTGCCAACAGTGCAGGATGTGGGATGACGAACTATGCAGTCAAGGGAAAGATAAGGTCAATTGGTTTTTTCCCAATAATCCTTTGCACGTCATCCTTTCATTGAAAACAAGAAAACAATCGAAATGAAATAACCACAACATAACCAACAAGGAACCTTGGGTAATGCTTTTAACTGAGGGAATTCAGACTTGATGCATGACAGAATTATTCGGTGGAGTTCTAAGGGAGTGCAACTGCTGGGAAGGCTGTTAATCGGGAGATGGGTTTTCCTTCCTGTCCACTTGTTGTGTAACTAACCAAAAGCAAGCATTAATTATCAGCTCACGATAAACAATATACAGTTGGCCTATGGCTGTGGCAGAAATCCTGACAAGACATTAGTGTTGACAAGATGGAGAGAATAACCCAATCACTATGGTACTAACGTAGCACCCTGAATTGGTGCAAAACAATGGCATAACTTAGAAAGATTTGCCACAGAAATTTTTTCTTTTTTAATTTACATGATTTTAATGTTCTTAGTTTTCATAATAAGGAAATTATAATGGGGCCCAAACACTAGTGTCCACTGTTGCATAGTACATGTAGGTTGGGGGATTATATTGTTAATATATTTAATGTACATGTATTTTTTTTTGGGGGGGGAAGGGAACCAATGAGTAGGGCCTATACATGTATGTGAATACTGAAAGTGAGACATGGAATATTGTTTTGAATTACTGTTACAATGAAACCTGATTTGAAAGGTTCTCACCTGGGGACGCTTCGTGTTGAAGAAGGTGAGCTCAGATCATGACCGTGAACTTCACAAAATGTAACTTGAGACTGGCTGTCATTGATGGAAGATGTGGAACCAATCACAGACCCGGGCCACTCATCTTCTTGCACCCACTGTGTTGACGAGGGCCTACGTGTACGTACACAAATTCTGCTCAGACGCTGAAGAGACGCAAGCCTTGCCACAGTTGTTGGCTGCATGCTGCCACTTTGCGACCCAGACTGAGCGGCCACTATAACGAGTAGTTTACGGCACGGCTGCTGTGTGAGCCTCTGATAATTCATGTACTGTCCATGTGCGAACTCCTGCTGGCGTCCATTGTATTGAAGCTTATGGGGGGTGATGGCTTCTCCAAGTTAAGCCAAAGACACGTTTTGTTGAGCTTAGAAAAACCCTCTTCCAATTAGCATATCCTATCTGCGTATGAGTAGTATCCGATGCATAATTGGTTTGTTCACAAAGCTGAGCCGAAGATGTGCCGACCTTAGGGAAGGTGCCAAGGAACAATTAGCAATAATGGTGGTCAGCACTGTTTGTACAAGATTGTATGAGCTTGCGGGAGGCTACCACTACTAATGGTGGTCAGCACTGTTTGTACAAGATTGTATGAGCTTGCGGGGGGGGGGGGGCTTCTGCCACTAATGGTGGTCAGCACTGTTCATGGAAGATTGTACGTCGATGTATTTTACGTGATTAGGAGGGTTACGGGGGTGAATTTCATGTTGTATAACTAGAGAGCTTTGAGTCTGAGTTGGTTTGATTTGTGTAGGCATATAGCCGGGGATATGTTGTAGATAATAATTGTAGCCACGTTAAGATTCAATTAAGTCCAATTCTTTATTTTTCAGAAAAACATTGTTCACTCTACATACTCATAACATATCAACATGAAAATAACATCTCAGTAATTAGGCGTACTGTTCATATTCAAATGCTTTATATAATTTGGGACAATTATTGAGTGTTTAGGCATTATTTGTTTTAATAACAGGGGTTTGTCAAGTTTCAGTTAAAGTTTGAAAAGAGGACTGATAGCATTTAAAAATTTTACATATATGCATTAGAGTGTGCGGCCATCATAGGGTTAAACTTGCTGCTACAATACTAGTTGTGATGAGTTGTTGAGGAGACAGATTGAGAGTGGGACAAAGGAGTTTGTGAATCTTGTTTTACTACAGTTCATTGATCAGTAGCATTTTTCGCATCTCATAAGAACATAATATAAATGGAGGGGGTGATTTTCATTATTCGCGATTTCCTCACCTTTTTTCAAAATGATGTCAGTACACAATTGGCCTAGATCCGTCTCCTCTCGTCATCGTTCTAGCCTTTCCTATGACCCTTTGCAACTTCTTCAAGTCTTCCTTTCTGCAACTACCAAAGCAGACTACATAACTACAAATCATTACACTCTCTATGACTGACTTTATAGAAAAGTCTTAGAAGTGTCCTATCCACATGGAATGAGTTCATTTTCCTCAAAAAAATGCATTCTCTGTTAAGGATAGACTTGCATTGGTCTTCCCATGACAGTTTTTGTTGGAATAAATAAATGTATGTGTTTGGCTGGTCTTAAACATACTTTTAAGACTGACTCAGGAGAGTGGACAGGACTTATGTCCTCACCTGTGGCTTGGCATTATCAGCATTCATTCTCCTGTGTATGTACATGTACATGTGTTGACATGGAATGACATGCACGCACACTCAAAAAAACAACGTCCAGACAATTTACTCTGTTGATCATTGAAGTTCAATGTTTAATTAGTTAACATGAATATGTTTGTCTGCACGTACTTTAAATGCATGTATGCAGTTGTCTGATCAGGTTAGACACACAGCGTGGGTTTTTTGTGAGCGATGAAAGTTGCCCTGCAACTTAAACGAATGTCTTTATGTAATAAGAATGCCCTACTTTAAATTAATCTCAGGGCAATTTACAATGACCTATCCAGCAAGGCAAAGATATATGAAATGAAAAACATGTTAAGTTGGAATGTAGTTTTCTTTGAAACATATTACTTCTAATGGTGCACGCAACACAATAACGTTACGGATGTTGTAAAGAGTACCACAGTGAATATGTCACACACATAGTACTTGTATAAAAGGCATTATCTAGTGCATTCCACTCAAGCAAGCAACGTTCCTGGTGCATTTTATGCTCACATTTTCAATATGAAACGCATTTTGCCTCAAGTAAATGTGGGTAACCAACTTGCCACGCTCTCTAGAGGAGGTGTGTCCAGTTTTAAAAATGCATTATGCATGATAGGCAACAGGTTACGTGTGCTCTGCATGTGTGAACCAATCAATACAAACTGAGCAGCATGTGGATGGAATAAAGTTCTCTCAAATTTTATGGGGAAGTTGAGCAAATGGACTGGACTGTTTTCTGATTCTGTTTGCGGGACTGCCCTCTATCAATGGACTATGCTGCTATTGTGTGCAGGCTAGAAACATGAACGCAGTCCAGAAAGTGGACTACATACGGTACTTACATATATCTTAGCTGATTCTGACAATTAAAGTGCCTTCAAAATGACAGGCATAATGAATTCAACTTGCTTTCAGTAGATTTTAATCAAGTCATGCCAGATAATGTGTAAGGATGTTGAATGGAGGATGTTTAAGCAACACGTTCAGGCAAATTCTGTGTGTAGTTCTGTATATGCCTCTATCCATCCTCATGCTTGATCAATTTCTACTGAGTTTGTTCACACAAAGAGGCTGAATGTAAAATTTTGAATGTAAAAGCCTCCTGGATATATTGTGTAAAATATTTAAAAATGTAAATAAACATTTCGAACTGACTCATCAGCAAAGGATGCTGCACACTGTTCTACTGAAAAGTTAATCCTTTTAGTTTGCATTTACATACAAGTTGAGGTACCCACTCTATCAGATCAAGATGCCTACAGTGTTCATCTTACCCAGGAAGCATCCACCATCTACCAAAGTGCATAGCACAGCCATGCTTAGACTCACCTTTCCTTGTGTCAACATTGGATTAAACAGACATGTCTTTTGACACTCTCAAATCCTTTGAGTTTCCATGCTTTGTTGATATGTTATTGTGTTCTACTATGTGGTATATTCTGTGGAGTTTCAACTATACATGTAACTGTTCTACCTGTTCAGTTACCGTTCATCAACTCTGGTAAGAGTGAAATTAGCAGCTTTTTGATGTTACATTGATATTGTTTTCCCCATCTAAGAATGCATATCATAACTTGTTCCTTCCGGCTTTTCTATGGTTTGAGTGCCAAGCAAGGTAACATGTCCCATTGTTTATTTTAAAGGTCAAAGCAGCCCCCTCTGCTTTCCAGTATTTCTTTGTACAAAGCTACGTACACATGTACGTACCAAAAGAAAAAAGGACATACAGTGTATATGTAATATATAAATAAAAGAAGAATTCTTGTTTGTGTTTTTGTTCATGTATCTACCCAAGAGGGAAAGTACTTGTTTTCTTTCTTTGATTTTCTGAGGGAGAGTCTGTGACTCACATTGCCTTGCCTTTAGAACCTAGAACCTACTGTCTAGTCACCTAGGCATGCATACATTCCAACAGGACCAATACTGACGGGCCAGACTGGTCCGACAAGTCTGCAGAGCGAGCACTCATTTCTCCCCTCGTAGCTCGCCTGCAGTCCTGGTCAGAACCAGCGGGAAATCCACTAGGCATGCTAGCTGTTATGTGATGAACATTCAAGCAGCAGGCCTGCTGTAGCCACATGAGGACAAGTGTTGAATAGAAAAAAATACTATACCAGACTTGGACATTTTATGTAATGCTGCAGGGAACAGTCACTGGATCCAGTTGACACAACTGTGACTGCAGTGACCAATTTTCTGCTGTACCTCGTCAACTCAGGCCTCATGGTAGCAATGATCCACAATTTCCATTCTGTCATTGCAACTGCCCATAGCGGCTTTTTAAGATGGCTCCACCATCTCAGATAATTAAGTGATTGCGAGTTTGATCAGTATCTTAGCATTGGCTCCGAAAAGGCTTATTATTGCAGTTAGAAACTGACTTAACCAGTATCTGGTTCTTTGCCTAGGTTCATGTTTCATCCGCACAGACCAGTTGGATGGAGAAACAGACTGGAAACTAAGACTAGCTGTGGGAAGCTGCCAAAGACTAGCAAGAGATGAGGTACACATAATCAATGACTTGCACCGAATTACATGAATAGAGTTCATGAACAGAGCAAAGCATTTGGAGCATCATGTTTTGTGAATTTGCCCTAGGGTCACCTGAGGCTTTCCTAGGTTGACTTTTATTTTGATGCCGCGTGGACATGTTTTTGTTCTTCCATGCACCTTGGCAGGTATTTTCTCACCGTTCAAATTCCCTAGTTTTCATGATATTTCCCACCCTTTGTCCAGTACTCCACGATCATAGTGTGTGTGAGAGTGATTTTTTTCAAAGTGGGGCCATTTCAGAGTCATTATAACTAGATACAAAACTAGCCCAGTCTCTATAAGTGCCCATTTCAAGGTTTAGAAAAACAAATCACTTTTGATATTTTTAAGATGTAATTGGTTTATTGTTTATAATACTGTGTGCCTCATTATCATTTGTCCCCATAATAAAGTGTGTCTTCGTTTAAAACTGCACGTAAGAAATGAGAGGACCGTGGTTGTGAACAGCCACAGAGCTACTTCAGCTTAAATTTAAAAAGGTTTTGACAAAATCATTTCGAGCATGTCGAGAGCAACTCAAAGGAAAACATGTTTTCTCAGATTTTATCTGTTCAAATAAATAGTGGAAGCATCCCGTATCAAATGCAGTGTCATTTGTCTTCAGAGATCAACTATATAACAAGCTAAAAAGGGTTTTTTTTCTGTTCATGCAAAGATGTGAATTCTGAACATGCTGAATGTAAATTGCATCATTCTGAGATGTCAGAGAAATCGAGGACAACCCTCGCCCTGTGTTCGTAGTGGATAAACAGTTGTGCATGTCAAACAGCATGTGTAGCCATTGTCTGTTGCCATTGTTTGGCATGCACAACAGTTTATCCACTACGAACACAGGGCAAAGGTTCCCCCTTTTTTTTTTATCTTGTTATATGTAAGCTCTGCTGGACCTCGTCAACTCTTTGAGCTCTGAAGAAGACAAATGACACTGCGTTCAATGTGGATGCTTCCATATTTATTTGAACAGATAAAATTAGAAAGAACATGTTTTCCCTTGAGTTGCTCTTTAAATAAAATTATTATAATGGCCAAGAAACGGAGAATCAGACAGTGGAAACTTTAAAATCTATGTCATCTTGATACATGTCACGTGACTTGTCATATAATGATAGCATCATGAGATGAAACCAATTTCCATCCAAAACCCTTTCCTTTCTAGCTATCTGCAAAGTTGCAACCCAGTGGGACATGTGCTTCATGAGATATGGGGCTTTGAAGAATGCATCATTAACATGCACCATGTGACTTGCCACCTATTGACATCTTCAACATATCAGGTCAATGTGGGTCTAATACCCTTCCCTTCTCAGCTATTGTCAAAGTTTCAACCCAAGGGGACGTGCCCTTTTGCAAGATACATTGCTTTAAAGGGTGCCCCTTTAATATCCTTTGACTTGCCACCGGATGAAGTCATCATCACATCAGATCAATTTGGGTCTGAAACCCTTCCCTTTAGAGCCATACACAAAGTTTAAACACAATCAGTGAAGTATTTCACGAGATAAAGTGCTTTAAAGAGGGCCCTTTAAATTCATGTGACTTGTCACCTAGTGACATCATAATCACATCAGGTTAATCTGGGTCTAAAACCCTTCCCCTTCAAGCTATACAGAAAGATTCATTCCAACCGGACGTGTACTTTACGAGATACAGCACTTTAAAGAATGCCCCTTTAATGTCACGTGACTTGTCACTTGATGACATTGTCATCTTATCAGGTCAAGGTCTAAAATCTCTCATTGAGCTGTACACAAAGTCTCAATTCGATCAAACATGTACATGTACATATACTTCACGAGATATGGCACTTGAAGAGTGCCCCTTTAATGTCTCGTAATTTGCCACCTAATGTCATCATTTTCTTTTTCATTTCATTTATTTATTTTGCAGGATTAAAACACAGACAATTTACACAATTTACAAATTTAAAAGATACAAAATACATACTCAAAAATATATATTAAGTTAAGAATCTACAAAAAAAATAGAGTAACAGATAAACTTAGAAACAACAGCAAAAGCAACAACACCACATCCACACAAACACAAAAGACATGTAACTTGTCACTCGATGCTGTCATACTCACATCAGGTCATTGTGGGTCTCAAACCCTTCCTCCTCAAGCTATACACAAAATTTCAAGCCAATCGGACATGCACTTCACAAGATATAGCATTTTAAGTAGTGCCCCTTTAGGGGGCTTACCAGTAAGGCCTTACCGTTCTTCCCGGGGGAAGCTGCTGAACTTTTTTTAACAAAAGAGCACTTGACAATGACGACCGTACGTGGCAAGAACTGTGTATGTTAATCTGCAAACATGAATGTTCCATTTGCTCCTCATTCAAAACACCCTACACAAATTTAGGTCAGGCCATTTAAATATTAATATCAACTGGAAAGTCTGCGATTGGAATGGCTGATTCAAAGAACTGTGTGTACCGGAGAACCTGTCAAACTGTGATCGGAGCGGGATGTTCATTAATGGTCGGCTATAATGCTGTAATCTGAATTTTTAACTCCTGATGTCAATAATTGTGTGATTCAGTGATGATAGTAGGCCCGTGTGACTGGTCAAATGTACGTGCCCACAACTACACAGTGGATGGAGTACCCACCAGGCCACGCAGAGCATGCAGTGCAGCACCGCGCCAGGTGAGCACAACATGCACTCGCAATTGCCTGTTAAGAACAGCCACACGCAAGCAATGCATCCTGCTCATCTAGTCGGTTCGCACACATTACACAACTTGACAGTTGCAAGCGACCACAACCTTGTCTCTTTTCTCCATGGTACAGACTAGTCGAGTCGTGTCGGCCTAGTGCTTGTGCATCACAGCCACGACTATTCCTATCCGGACATGATTGCTCAGAGCACGGCGCAAGCATGATTCTTCTTGCTTGAAGATATTTTTATTCATGAGTGGGGCCAAGAATCTGTGCTTTAAGCTTTAGGATTGTTAAGTTTTTATGCACGTCTGTGAGTTAAAAAAAGGATTTGTAATGAATGTACACACTGTGATAGTCTTTTGTAAAAATGTGTGATATAGACAAGTTTTGTTTGCATATAGTAATAATTACTTTTTGTGCAAAGTGATTTAAAAATATTTATTCGTTATAAGCTTTCCCAAGTTGTTTACATAGAAATAGGGTTTACAACTCAAAATTCACGTAAAGGTAGAATAATGGACCGTAATACAGGTTCCTTTAATGCAGGTTCACACAAACAATTATGCCATAAAGCATTTGCTGCTATAAAATTTGCCAGAGGGCAAATATGTTCAACATTTGCCAACTCTCAGATAATCGGCACGAATGTGAACATGATTTTTTTTACCTAAGTTGGAGCCGAAATTGCGCTGTGAATTTTAAAACTAAACACCCGCTTCACAAAATTCCCAGCTGATGCTTCTTGAAGTCAGAACTGCATTTCAACACGTTAAAATGTGAATGTTTCTCCAAGTCGATCATTTTATTCCAACATCGTCCTGTCTGAGGAAAGAATGCAATATGTAAATGCATCTCCTAGCCGATCATGTTTTCCAACACCGTCCACTCCAATCCAGTCCGCGGAAAGAATGCAGTATGTAAATATGTCTCTGTGTCTCGTGACGCAGTTTCTCTGCAACAATAGCGCGCAGCCGGGCCAGCTCATTAACTCCTTGCGTCCTCGAGTGCACACGGGTGTGCAGTTCACGAACTTTCCAGCCCCTTAGCAACAACAGACTTGCCGTTAAAAAAGCGGACTTTATGTAGAAGAACGGTAAGGCCTTACTGGTAAGCCCCCTTAATGTCATGTGACTTGTCACCGGATGACGCCATCATCCCATTAGGTCAATTTGGTCTGAAACCCTTCCTGTTCCAGCCATACACAAAGTTTGAGGTCAAGTACTTGACGAGATATAGTGCTTTAAAGAGTGTCCCTTTAATGTCACGTGACTTGTCAGCTAATAACGCAATACACAAAAATTTACACAAAAGCTATACACAAAATTTCAAGCCAATCAGACATGTACTTCATGAGATATAGCATGTTAAATAATACCCCTTTAATTTCACGTGACTTGGCCCCTGATGACATCATCATCACATCAGATTAATGCGGGTCTTAAACCCTTCCCTTTCCAGCCATACAGAAAGTTTAAACCAAATCAGTCAAGTAATTCACGGGATATAGCGCTTTAAAGGGTGCTCCTTTAAGGTCACTTGACTTGCCAGGTGATGACTTCATCATCACATCAGGTCAGTTTTAGTCTAAAACCTTTCCCCTTCAAGCAACACACAAAGTTTCAACCGAATCAGACGTGTACTTCACGAGATATAGAACTTTAAAGTGTCCATTTAAAATCATGTGACCTGTCACCTGATGACATCATAGTCACATCAGGTCAATTCAGGTCTAAAACCCTACCCTTCTCCATTGAGCTGTACACAAAGTTTCAACCTAATCGGACATGTAATTCGCAAGCTATAGTGCTTTAAAGAGTGCCCCTTTAATGTCACATGACTGAATACGTAATGACATCATACTTACATCAGGTCAATTTAGGTATAATCTTTCCCCTTCAAGCTACACACAAATTTCAACCGAATGTCATGTGACCTGTCACATGTCACAATATTTTCATCCAGCTATCTAGAAAGCTATCTCGCACATGGATTCCAGGAGATATACTGTATGGGGCTTTAAACATTGCACCTTTAATGTCACGTGACTTGTTTCTTAATTAGGCCATTATCACTTGAGGGCAATTTTTGCCTATATCCTTTCCCTTTCAAGTTATCTTCAAAGTTTCAACCCCGTGGGACTCAAGGAGATATAGGGCTTTCAAGAGTGGACCTTTGATGTGACTTGGTACCTGATGACGTCATCGTCACATGTGCGTTTTCGTCTTTGGTACATCCCTTTCGAAATATCTGCAAAGTTTCAACCTTATCAGACATGTACTTCCGGAGATATAGGCCTCTGAAATTTGCAACTTAAATACCATGTCACGTGACACGAGGTGATGTTACAATGAAGATTGTTTCTTGGACCCTGTCTACCCTGAGGACCGCGTGTGGATTTAATACAATGTGTATGTATTGAGTCAGATTGAAAAAGGGCCTTAGTCTTGCTGATAAAAACATGTACAAAAATATGGGAAAATATTAAATATTTTAAATCCGACAATAAATCAGATGATGATGTCATTATGACGTCATGTTTTGGAAGAGACCCTTGATATAAGTTACTTAAATGTGTAAAGATTCAAAGTCATATGACTTTGTTTAATGCCGAAAGAGGTGACAAGCAAAAGGGCTGGAACTCAAGGTGTGTGGCTGTTTAAAATGTGTACAAAACATATGGGAAAATATTTAATATTTACAATTCCATAATCAATCAGGTGATGACATCATCGTGATGTCATGTTTCACAAAAGAACTTTGCTGTGAGTTATTTACAGCAAGTGTGTAAAGTTTCAAAGTCATATAACTTTGTTTAACCACTTTCTGCCAGGGCATTTATCAATGTTGATGATGCTGGGCCGGCATAATGATCATTTTTTCCGTTTTCAAAATTCTTAAAAAATTCATCTTTTCATTTAACGGACATTTATAGCTTTACGAAGTAATCTTTAGGCACTACTTTAAGTTGACAGGTGACCTTCATTGACACCTGAGTATTTCAGCCAGGCCTGCAGCCTTGTAAAAAGAGCCCATATTGTTTGGTGTTAAGTAACTTTCTTTTGTTCACGATTCTGGCTTAGTACACTGCTGACCTCTTTTCAATAGGGGCCAGATTAGCATGCAGCGGTGCTGTGTGGCTCATTGCTGTGGTGGTGGAGCGCTTTTGTCCCCGGTGGTAATCCGTTCACTCTCAATGCCCCAAACCCTGGTATACGGTTTCAAAACAAGGCTGGATTATCACCACTTTTGAGAGTGAAAAATGTTGATAATGCCCAGCAGCCTGGTCTTTTATTCAGAGGACGTTTTTTTCTAACAGGGCCTGAGCTGTTTACTTTGTCCGAGTTTGGAGACCCCCGCCATGCATATAAAGTATACGTCTCCGATTCCAGAGTCCCCGGCAGGAAGTGGTTTATGCACAAAGAGGTGACAAAAAAAGTGTGGGAAGACCAAGACGAATAATGAAAAAGGAAGTAGAGAAACAAAGCCTTTTCCCGCACTCTGCGGAAAAGCCAAATATATATTGCACACATTTTCATAGCACTGAAACTGCACTGCTAAAAATCAAGAGTGACCTTCTATTGGTTTGTCTATTTGACAAAGAAGTGCACAAAACCGCCTTGTCAAGACTCAATGCAGTATTAGGAAAAGCTTCCATGAAAAGATATGCTTTCAGCAAAGTTGTAAATACAGGGACAGTTTTTCGCTTCTTTCATAAAACACTAATAAGTTATTCCAAAGCTCTGGAACAGCATAAACAAATGAACGATCTTCAAGAGTAACCTTAAATCTATGATAAGGATGGTCAAGGGTAAACCTTTCCTGTGAATTGTGAATCTTATGTGAGTGAAATTTAGAATTTTAGTTTTTATCAGCTAAGAAGTTTAACTTGGCACTAAACCATGCAAAGCTTTATATGTGATGAGAAGTAACTTAAATGCAATTCTTTGTCAAATAAGCAAACCAATAGAAGGTCACTCATTATTATTAGCAGTGCAGTATCAGTGCTATGAAAATGTCAATAAGCAAACTGGGTGGTAGGTAACAAACAGATTATCACAAACATGTTGGTTATTTTGTTGTCCAGCAGCACCTACAGTATATTTGGAAATATACTGCAAATTGCTTAATTGGCCTGAAATTACTAAACTTGAGCTTGAGACCTGGTTTCTTTAGTAAAAATTAAACTGCAGTTTGAGGAAAACTGACTGTAACATTAAGACAAATTAACTGGTAACAGTGCGTCACTGCAGAGTCAGCTTTGTTTGCATACGGTCTGGGTGACATGTTTTCTTACTTGATTGTAATATGAGTTTTTTTCACATCACCTTCAGACATGAGTCTGGCTGTGATTTTTATGACCATCTACGTCAAAACATAACATTTCTATTAAGGTATTCGCCAACAAATACATGTCTTAATTAAGAAGCATACCATTTTCTTTATTCCAGGTAGTTTCCTTTTTCTGTCTCTTTTCAAATGTTTTGTCACTATAATGATGTATCTTCACATTATTAAACTAAGCCTTTAACCACTTCATGCCGGGGCATTTTTCAATGTTGATGATGGCATGACTATCATTTTTTCCGTTTTCAAAATTCTTCAAAACGGCCGTTTATAGCCGCACGAAGTAATCTTTAGGCCCTACTCTAAGTTGACAGGTGACCTTCATTTACACCTGAGTATTTCAGCCAGGCCTGCAGCCTTGTAAAAAGAGCCCAGATTGTGCGGTGTTATGTAACTTTCTTTTGTTCACGAGCCTGGCTCAGTGCACTGCTGACCTCTTTTCAATAGCCAGATTAGCATGCAGAGGTGCNCTCATCGCTGCGGTGGTGGAGCGCTTTGTCCCCGGTGGTAATCCACTCACTCTCATTGCCCCAAACCCTGGTATACGGTTTCAAAACAAGGCTGGATTATCACCACTTTTGAGAGTGACAAATGTCGATAATTGCCAGCAGCCTTGTGTTTTGTTTGGAGTACGGTCTTTTGTTACAGCGCCCTGTTTCCTTTGTCTGAGTTCAGAGACCCTGGCCTCGCATATAAAGCACATGTCTCCGATCCCGGAGTCCCCGGCAGGAAGTGGTTAATACTTTTATGCTTAAGGGGCCACTCAAAATTGTCAGTGTTTTTAAATTTTGACTTTTTTTCCAAATTTTCTTGGCCCACCCACCCACAAATGTGACTCTGATTTGGCCATTTTCTGGATGATGGAGCCAAGTGGCAAATCAGGTTGTGTCTGTCACGGGAGGTACTTTAGAAAACAATAGCCACTTATAGAAAAATTCTTTTTGCTCGGGTGTCTGACCAAGGCAAAAATTTAAATTGACAAAAAGAGATCCTTGCTGATTGTTCTTAAGACAATAGAAAATACACAGTTTATTCTTTTTCCTCAGAAAACTTCTCATTGGAAAATGGAGTACCAACTACAAGTACACACTTTAGGTATTCTTTCTGCCCTCTTCAAAAAATTTTCATTTTAAAATTAGCGCACCAACTAAAATAACATCTTTTGCCGGGGGTATACACTTCCACCTCAGAACTGAAGTCTACCGTTGGCCTGGAGCTTCAGCTTATTTTTATTAATTTTATGTCAAAACTCCAAAGAAAAACTGAGTTTTAAACTTTGGGAATAAAAATTCATATTCACGAAAGAAGGAAAGCACATTATCGAAAGTAAACAGAGGAGTATTAAAAACAGCAGTATCAACTGCCTGATCCCATAATGGGAAATTCTTATCAACAACAATGTTGTTACCATTGCTCTACCTCATGATTCCTTCCCACGTGCTTTCCTGCACAACTGGCGTATCCTTTCGGAACACTTTCCAATGCTGTTGGGCGCTGGCAAAAGCTGATTCTTTAGAGTTTCTGGACATCAAACAGCAAGCATACAAAAAATGCTCGTAGGATGATGATGGCTGTTTAATAATCAGCTTTTGCTCCATCCAAAAACTCTAAAGATTTGCGGGTATATTGCATTCGCACGGTCTGTCCATGGAAGCAGCCATTTTTGTTTGTATGACCGCTATTGATCGCGCACGTAACAGCATGCCGTGTACGATCTGCTCCAAAATGTACCTCCCGGACTACGGCTAGAATGCGTCTCCCAGCTCCACGCTCATGCGTATTCACATAACTGTATAGCGGAACAGAGTCATAGACCTAGCTCTAGCCAACAGATCTGGATGCAGTTTGCTGCTGTCCAGTTAGTCTTGAATTCAAAGTGATAAACATTAAGTTGCACCGTTATTAACAACTGGTGTTCAAGGTTCTCCATGTGTACCTGTAGGTTAATAGGCCTGGTACCCTGCCACATTTGTGTGGCCTGTTGATCATCGCTGCTAGCGCCTAGATTTCAAGTCTAAGAATAAAAAATCTCCTTTGGCGATGTTTCCAAGATACGTGCATGTACATGGAGACGGTGTACATGTACATGTATATGTACGTGCGAAGTCAACCTGTCTGTACATGGGAACAAAGTTGAAACAGATTGCATTTTTGGAAAGTTCACGTGGCTTGCAGGCTACATGATTTTCAGGCAAATCAGAAAAACATTTTGGGGGATTTTAACATAAGTGAATTTTGATTTTCAGTTTATTCTTTTGACCCACCCACCCACTATTCCGAAAAAAGTCGAAATTTAAACAACATTGAAAATTTTGAGTGGCCCCTAAAGTAGTGAAGATTTCTATAATAATAGTGTAAAACATGGTGTTCCAGCCAGTACTAAATTGATCACTGTGGCCGGTTTTTCTGAAGGAGGCTGTGTGCTCAAGGATTTTTGTACTTCAGTGAAACACCTTGTGAATGTGAGGATCACTCATTGCCTATTGATTATGGGTCAAATTTTTATATGTACATGTATGTGCTAACAATATCCATTTTAAAGAGGATGTTTCGGAGTATTTTAGGATTTTGGTAATGTATCAAACCTTTTTTCCCTTTAAGGAACTGTTGGACCTGAATGCCTTTGTGTTTGCTGAGAAACCCCAGAAGGACATCCACAGTTTCATCGGCACATTCAACATGCCCACATCAGAGGGCTCATTAGCCAAGGACACATTGAGTATTGAAAATACAATTTGGGCCAACACAGTAGTGGCGTCTGGTAAGCTAAACAGCCTTCCTGGCTACATGTGTATGTTACCTAACAAGATTTTTTTCATTTTTATTCAACCTATACAGGTCCATGCATGATCAGTTTGCTTTATTTATCACCCCATGAACTTGCATCATTGCTAACTTAAAACATGTTATTTCAAAGATGGATTTGCGCCGGGGAGATGTAAATTAATTTTTGGATTTTTGCCCTGCCTGATGTCTATTTTAACACTGTATGCTCAGTGTATGCCCCCAAATGATTGTCGAAAACTACAAGCATACTCGGGTGGGACTCGAATCCACGACTTCCTGCTTGCTAGTGCAGACGTCTTAATCACTCGACCACCAAGATTGTTGGTGTCGGCTGGCTGGCTGGTACTATGAACAACTATTTCAAATATGAATTTGCACCGGGGAGATGTAAGCAGGAGGTCATGAGTCCACTGATCTCATCCTGCCCAAACAGTCGCAATATATGCAAATTCCTTTGCTTCTGATTCTTTACTAAAAACTTGATCAACCATAGTGCGCCCTCTAGACCCATAATGCATAGCAGCATCGCCACCATTTTTGTATTTTTTCTTAGCATGATTCTTAACGGACATGTCAGTTTTAGCATCTGCAAGTTTTTTGAGTTTCTGTTTCACCAGCACGTTCCTTTGTAAATTTGATCAACTGTAACATATTGGAATAAAATGTGCATTTAATATTTGATATATTTTCCTACTTGTGTTCGTATTTTCGTGGTATTTTTCTTCCCTCTTTATGTGTGTGTATTCTCGTAAGTTCTCATGTTGACTCTATGTAGCTGTAACACCGAGCGATATACGTAGGGCGTAGGGTCAACGGGGTGACCTTGGGATTGTTGGAGGTTCCGCATAATCAAGATTGAGTGGCATTCAGTGCTATACTTATGATTATGTGTAAATTCATGCTGGCAGTAACCAGTTCAGGGTTAGCCCACGCCATATTTCAAGGGTCTGAGCTTTAGTGCGTGCCATATCCAAACGCTCAGTTCCCTAACTCTACCACCGGGGCATAGCAATCAGTGATAGTGCCGAATGGCACTGCACTTGTGGTTCTATAACCCCTACACACAGGGGGCTGATCCAATCGCTCAGTTCCTCTAGCATTACTACTAGGCAACAGCGGTCCATACCTCATGTATGCCTGCGGTAGAATGCATCGAACCATGGGTATGGCTTATAAAACCTTGCGCCGGGACGGCCCCACGCCTCCCACGCTGGCTGTAACAATCGCCTCATGCCATGAGCCGCAACCTTCAACAAGCGCACTCAAGCGTGATCTGAACGCTACTTGCTCCCAGGCTGACATCCTGTTGGCCCAGTGGAGACAAGGCAGGGCCATGCAGACTCCGTCGGTGACCCAGGCAGCAGAACTGCCGTGTGTCACAGCTCGTCCCATTCATGCAGCATGACTCACAAGGTTTGCAGTGGGACGCCCCACTGAGTGCCCCATGCCTCAAACCACCCTCATCAGTCTCTCTTCATCAGGGGGCATCCAGGTGTGGGTAGACACTACATGCTACCGGGCCACCCCCTGCCATATGATCCAGTGCTGCCCAGTTGGATACAATGGCAGCCACAATGCAGACATGGGTAGCAGGTCTGCTCAAATAATAGCTCCTATCGCCATGCTACTCATCAGCCTGCTAGTCAGCGCCAGAGACCCCCACACAAGGGGCACCTGGGCATGAAACACAGAAGTGCGCTATCCGGGCCGACTCGCCACCATTCTCAGGGGCGAGCTCAGTGAGTAACTAAATGTTTATACGTGTGTGTTTTTAGATGTCACATGTCAGTAGCTTAATGCGTATACTTGTGTGCTTTTAGATATTGCATGTATGTAAGTAACTTCATGTTTATGAACTAGATAGGTTTGCAGTGGCACCATAGATATATCTCTTTTTTGGTGTGTAGAGGGCAGTGGGGTGTGGAGAGGATGCTAACTCCGGATCCAACTGAGGTCAATGGGGTGCTTGCACTTCTACTGTTTATACGTGTGTGGTTTTGGATGTTACATGTAATTAACTTAATGTTTGTAATTGCAGTTATTATTTTTTATTATCATACTGTTTAATTTTTGGCGAGCTGCGAAGCAAGTGCGAGCCTATGTAATACCGATTTCCGTCTTCTGTCCGTCCGTCCGGCTGTTGGCCCTCAAATGTTAAAGTTTTTCCTTGCAGGCCCATACATGTAGTTGTTAAAATGTACCATTGAGTGTTTGTTTGCTTCTTCTTGGAATTCCGTCAGTATTTAAATAGTCTCATATGGCATTAATGCTTAGAAACTTATGAATTTAATGAAAAAATTACAAAAGTTGAATGTTAAAGTTTTGAGTTGTATTGTGTACTTGCCCTGTAATACATACGGTACATTCTGTATGTAGGCCTACTGACCACTCCTATAATGCACATTTATGTACATGTTTGTAGAGATGGTGTTTAGACACATACAAATGTACAAGTACAGCATGTGGGGAAAATGTAAGGGATGGGGGGGAGGACTCCAAGTGACAGATTAGGATGCATGTTGGGGGTAGGGGTACCTGTAGGAGGAGGATTATGGGGACAAGGTACATGTGCATGTACGTAGAAAGTGGATGAAATACTGGATAAGTTTGGTGTAATGGTTGGGCTGGGTTAGTGGGATGATGGGACAGCCAGAGTAAGAAGTGAAGGGAATGATGGGTAGGGATGGAGTAGGAGATAG